TCCCCGAAGGGGACTCAGGGCGGCTCACAACTCAAGTCAAGGGGGGGGGGGTACAAATAAGGAATAAAAAGACGTACAAGACAATACCATAATTTAAAAGCACACAGCAACCATACCATTCAAGAGGGGACAAAAGCTCAATTAGCCCCAGGCCTGTCAGAACAGCCAGGTTTTAAGGGCTTTGCGGAAAGCCTGGAGGGTGGTACGAATTTCCATGGGGAGCTCGTTCCAGAGGGCTGGAGCAGCCACAGAGAAGGCTCTCCTCCGGGTAGTCGCCAGTTGGCATTGGCCAGCAGATGGAATGAGGCCTAATCTGTGGGATCTAATCGGTCTGTTGGAGGTAATTGGCAGCAGGCGGTCTCTCAAGTACCCAGGTCCAATACCATGAAGGGCTTTATAAGTGACGACTAGTGCCTTGAAGCATATCCGAAGACCAATAGGCAGCCAGTGCAGCTCGCGGAGGATAGGTGTAACGTGGGTGAACCGAGGTGCACCCACAATCGTTCGCGCGGCTGCATTCTGGAAAAGCTGAAGTCTCCGAATGCTCTTCAAGGGCTGAAGAACTTCCACATAAGCCTGAAAAAAAGATGTGGATGTTAAGAATTGCTTTAATTTTAATGAGTAAAATTGCTAATATGAACTTTGAGTTTGTAATAGTTTGCTCACCTCCTTGGTGCATTGGCTTAAAGAAAATAACAACATTATCATCAGCTTAAGCTTGTATCCTTCTCTCCTTAGTATTATGAATTATTTACTTACAGTATATACTCAATACTATCTATCAGTGTTTCATGAATGTTATTTTTATTAAATATTAATTTAAATAATCAAATAATAATATAAAACGTACTACAAATAAGTATTATAGAACCAGTTTGGTGTAGTGATGAATGCATTAGGCTAGATACCAGGAGAGAATGAATTCTCGTTCTGCTTTAGGCACAAAGCCAGTCATAAACTGATTTTGGGCCAGTCACTTAATCTCAGTCCTAGGAAGTTAGCAATGGCAAACAACTTCTAAAATCTTGCCAAGAAAACTGTAAGGGGCTGAATGAAAGAAAGAGCAAAGACCATCTTATTATATCATTTACATCAAACCAGATCTATATTTGCAAAAATCTAATAGTTATGTTCAATATTACCTAAAATTTAAAAGCAACATTAATAGTGAAGGTAATAGACCATAGTTCAGATTTCTTATGTTAGGATCCTTTTCAGGTGAAAATTACTTACATTCTCTCTTCTTTTATTTTGACTTGCTATAGACTTATCTTCCTGTTCCTTCATACATTTTTCAGCAGCATTGCTTCAGTGTTCTCATAGCTGATAGGACTGTATTGCATCATGATAAATTTAAACAATATCCCTGACTATCTTTTGATTGACACAGCTTACAAGCATATTACATCTGAATGCAACCAACAATATTTAGTCTTTACAGCATGTATCTCACAATTACAAATAAGTAACCAATTGTATCAAGCCTTAAATATAGTACCATACTTGGAATTTTAAAAAAGAATTTATCTTCATCTCATTTTAAGATGATCATTTTAATAGCTTCATTTTATGAAGCATTTTTCTCAGCAATTCCTAGAGACTACAGCCTGATTCCAAATCTAAAAAATATATTCAGCTGCCAGCATTCAATATACCCATGACCTTCCTTTCCGTAGCCAAGACTGTTCTTGCCAAGTGACACAAAGTCTGTGACTAAACATTATACTTTCCCTAGAACCAGTCAAAATATCACTTAGAATAATTTCATGGTAGAGAAAGGAACCTTGTAAATTGGAAATTGTGAAGACCATATAGGTAGCTTAAATGGAGCTATCCATTCAGGGTATTCAAACATAATAGCAGTTAGAGGACAGCACATAAACATCTGTTTTACTAGCTTATTCCAATGGATGTCACTGTTTGCTTTTAGACCAGCTATGGGGAAGTATTAGACTTTAAATACTTAAAGAAGAAAAATCTGCCAGTATTTGAAGACTGTTAAAGGCTCTAGATAAAATAGACCAATAATCTTTACAGAAAAAAGTGACTATTTCTTTGTGCTACGAGTAATATATGCTTATTATACTGTACTTTTAAATGGTGATTATCTCAATTTTTTAAAAAATCAGCATTACATTTCTAGGGGCTGAGTCCTGGTTGTTACGATACCTACAACGCTGATATAGACTGCCAGTGGATTGATATTACAGATGTTAAACCTGGAAATTACATTTTAAAGGTAATCACATTTCATTAATTAGAAAACCCAAACAGATTTAGTATTATATGAAACCTGTAAAGTGTGTATTTCTTTTGTAGGTTAGCGTCAACCCTAGTTACTTGGTACCGGAATCAGACTATTCCAACAACATTGTACGTTGTGATATCCGTTACACAGGCAATCATGCATATGCCTCTGGGTGTACAATTTCCCCGTAAGTTTTTGTTTGTTTCTCTCTAGTATTTTGCAGTAGTACTAGCAAAATGTAGCATGAACGTAGAAGTGCATTGTAATGACAGGAAGTATGTAAAGTACTTTTTTAATGAAATTGGCAGACACAATGTTCAACTAAAGTTATGTGCTTTACTTCTATAACAGATTTATGTACTTTTTCCTTCCATACTATGGCTACTCTTTTAAGGAGAATTCTACATTGAACTTAATATAATTTTTCACCCAACCAGGGGCCTAATATTTTTGAGCTAGCTATGGTTCATATTATCCTTCCTTAATAATTGCTTTAGAAAATACTTTGCAAATTAAATTGTCATCTAGCATCTGAGGGATGCCAGGTTGGGAATAACAACTTTCTAGCCAAAGCCTCTCCTCCCCCACAAAAGTTCGTATGATTGGAAATTACACTCATTTTAAAAGTAAAATGTTTATTGTCCCCAATAAGGTGGAAGTTGTTTTAGGAAGGGGCTTAAAGGCATGGCGTATTGGGGGCGTACAGCATTGTGAGTTAACTTATGAAGGAAACGTATCTGCTTTAAGAGATATGACTTGGATTGAACCTGGTGAACTAGGTGTTACATTCTAGGCCCCTACATGTTTTAGAGTACTATGCGGTGTTATTGTGATTTCACATATCTGGAACTGGGCCTATGTCCGCCTGTATTTTATACTTGTTTTGGTTTCATGTTAGATCCATTCCATTATAAAAATGAAATTGCCAAACTTTCATTTTTTCCATAAATCTGTCTTAATTGAGTGGCCTAGAATGAACCTAGAATAGTGCCAGACTCGATTTTGTTTGCCAAAGCATAATACTCAAATTGGATTGTTTGTGAAATGTAGAAATCCTGTTTTGAAACTTTAAAGGGATTGGTACTTTTCTACTGCTGCATGAATTTTACAAACATCTGCTTTTATTTCTAGTTCCCACTGACAAATCCTTAAGAGTAGCATATCTATTAAAAATATAGATCATTGTCCCAATTATGACCTGCTTTGACTTTCCCACTCAAAATCATGTAATTATACATGATCTTACAGAATACCCTTGTAGTTTAGTATTTTCCATTTTTCAGCATGCCTACATCTACAAACTTTGTATTGTTTCTGTGTGAATATTTAAGTAGCTGCCTAAGCATGGCATTTGCACATCCCAGATTTACTATTAATCTTTCAGTAACTAAGATGATTTATAATGTAACTTGATTTAATATCTCCAGAGCTAATTTCCATATTGTTTCCCTTTAATCTTTAATTTGCATTCAATAATTTAGCATTTGGCATCTGTCAATATTGCTGCTACATACTATTTGTCAAATAACAAATTGAAAAAAATCACTATTTGTTTGAAGGTAGTGGTTGGTTTACAGAACCACTGGAGGAACCATCCTTTTTTTTGCTGCAGCTCTTGTTAGTGCCCCGTTAGTCACAGTTCTATTAGCATAACTATAAGAATTTGACATTTTTGAAATCTTAAAATTTGTTTAAACACTGGAAATTAATTTGAAAGAAGCTAAACTTCTTTTAGAATCAGATTTTTTTTTAAATGGAAAGAGCAAATGTCTTCTCAGTCTACTTAGATTAGTTACCAAAGATTTACATGGATGGATATTAAGTATGGGAAAAAACATTCAAAAATGCTTGGTGAAGCATATTAGCACAAACCTAGAAGTGTTTAAATAGCTGCATTCTTTAGGTTTGTTTCAATTTCAAAGGCTGCCCGTCTGTGCTGTTGTTCCCAGCAGAATGTACAGTTAGTCCTTGACTTACAACAGTTCACTTAATGACCATTCAAAGTTACAACAGGTCTGAAAAAAGTGATTTATGACCATTTTTCAGCATTATGGCCATTGCAGCATCCTCAGGGTGAAGTGATCAAAATTCAGATGCTTAGCAACTGACTCATAGCCAGATTCACTCAACAACTGTGATACTAACTTAAGAACTGCATTCACTTAACAACTGTGGCAAGCAAGGTTGTAAAATGGGGGAGCTCCTCATTTAATGTCTTATTTAGCAACAGAAATGCTGGGCTCAATTGTGATTGTAAGTCGAGGACTATCTGTATATGGATGCACAGATGAGCAAGGATAGCCTTTAAAGCAGCTCTGAAAGGCTCCTAAAAGATGCTACTATATTACTACTCCTTGCTTTTAGGAAGGACGTTTTATTTGTGCCAATGCAGATAGTGAACTATCTGTTTAGTGCTTCTGTCTGCAGTCTTCATAAAAACAATTTAAGCAAAAGACAATTATCTAACAAGGGTAGGCAAATTAACTGAAATCCAATTCAGATTAATAATCCAGTTTGAATTTTTGAGCTAATATCAGTTTTAATTGGAAAAATGTGTACATAATCAGAATCATTTGAACTTTCAGATTGAATTGTTTTGATTAAAAAAATTCTAATGACTCAATCAAATCTCATTCAAATTGAATTTCTATACTGGAATTTACCACATTCCTAATAGCTAAAATAGTTATTGTATTTTTAAAATTGTTATTTGTAATTTTCTGTGCAGCATTCTGTTCCTATTAATAAACTTGTTTTTTTTTCTATAGATACTAGGATGAAGGAAAATTGGTTTACTGATACCCAAGGTTTGGAGATGCAATTATTTTATAAACTGAATAGGATGTAAACACTTTTGAAAAATGAGACGGATCAGAATATATACAAAGAATTTTAATCTGACTCTGAAGCATTAAAAACTTCTTCAAAATGAAACACTTTTTTGATTCAGCTATTCAGCTTTTGAAGCCAGTGAGACAATGGTACTCTATAGAAAGAATAATGAATTCTAAAGGAAGTTAACGTACTTCTATAAATATCTTTTCCATTGACTACTGGAAATCAGTATATTTGAAAGTGCTTTTTAGAAATATAAATGGTGCTAGCATAGGCAGATATCCAAAGAGTTGCTTTCAATTCCATTGCATGGTTGAGGCACGTCTAATGAGAGTTTACAGTTTAAACTGTAGGCCCATTGCTTCCTAGTATCATGGAAGTCTTCTAACATCTTTTTGCAATATTTGTTGTTACCAACAGTCAATGGTACTAGTGTCCAAATCCTCTGGGATTATAGAATAATTTTATAGTTCTTTAATATGCAGTCGTGTAATACTGATTGTGAGGAATATAGAAACGAACTCTAGTTGTGGAACAAATTGGTAGGGAAGATGAAGTTTCCATAAATACCAAAGCTTCATTTTTTTTGTCTAATAGATACAAAAGTAGTAGGCTTCATTAAAGGACAGATATATGCTTAAAATCTGATTGCATATAAAATGATTCTATTTTTAAAACTAGCAGGCAAATAACTTTAAACCAAAAAGTATATCTATTTTAATACATTGCTTAGAATATTAAAACACCAGATTTGCCTATTTCCAGTGCTTCCTGCAGACTGCTTTGCATTTTATCCCCCCCCCCTCCTTTCCTCAACTGGAAAGTTTCAATTACAGATGTTGGAAAGATTTTGAATTACAGATGTTTAGAAACCACTTCCCATGAATTGGACTTGGATACCAGATTGAAAATGATATATGCTCAGGAAAAAAAAGGCTGAGCTCATAAGCTTGATGCTTCATGTTGTGTTCCATTATAAAACTAGTTTCTAGCTACATGGGGTGGAAAAAAAATTCAGGTGAAATCATAAAATGAGCCTTACCCAGATTTGTCTGTGTACCTCATGAACATACAAGAAAATGTTCTTTTAAAATGTTCATTTAGGAAATCAAAATGAATTATTTTATACATACATGAAAGCACAGATGTGCTCATATGAACATATACTCAAGCTTGTTACCACCTGCATTAGCAGGTATTATACAAACTTGGAAATAAAGTTGTAATTCAAATTTCTACTTGGGATATTACATGGACCAAAACAAATTTGAACCAAAGTTAATTGTACTAAGGAATAGTAGTTCAACTTACTGGTAAAGGTTGGATTTTTCCTCAAAATAGATATATAAATCCTTGTTCATTGAATCATCTTGACATAAAATTCTTAAATTGTGATATACATGCTATTATATGACATGTAACATTTGGAATATATGAAATATTTTTTGTGGAAAGTTTTTATAGTCTGAATCTGAAACATTTGGGTGCTTTTTAAGTTTCATTGTCCAGTTGTCTGTGATGAGATTCCTTTCGATTCTAGAGCAAATTTCCCAAAATCTGTTCTGGAACACCTATGACTGTATTGTAAAAAAATTAGCAATTTACTATCATCCAATGAGCACTTAAATTGTTCCATCCATTTAGATTAAACATTTATTCTATCATTCAAGCAATGTGCCCACAAATCTGTGGACAAAATCGCAGGACTGAACCCTTCCTATCCACTTGTCAAGGCCTCATCATCTTTTTGATGGATGTTGAACTGCCAGTCCTGTTCATATTCTCAATCATACATTAACATATGTTGCACTATTATGTCAACCACTTGAAATGTTTATACCTAAGCTCCAGTTAAAAAAGAACCCAGACTTTTGTAGCAAGGAACTGAACTGGTATTGTGACACCAGTAACTACTTAGAGGACACTCCCTCAGGAAAGTTGCTGATCTTTTCTCTAGTAATGTAAGAGATAGCTGGCCTGACAATTGAGTAACTTTACGATACAGGATCACAATGTATAAGATGCATTTTTCTTATGATAAAACCGTATTTTCATGTATAAACATAGAGTACCTGTTATTTATTCTGTGAACAGAAGGTCTGTGTTGTATCCAGAAAAAGGCCTGAATAGAAAAGGATACTATTTCGTGAAGGATGCTGTGATTTAAGAATTTTTGTTCACTCTAAAATATGAAGTAGAATTCCTAAATCATAAGGAATATCTATTTATCAACTTAGCCACTCAATTTGAAGAAACGTTGAATGTGGCAAAGCTCACAGAAGTGTTACACATTGTGAGTTGGACACATCTATGTGACACTTTTTTAAAAAAACTTTGCTATGCCAAATACATCATGATGCATTACATTAAAATATTTTTTTAACAATGAGCTAATAATGGAAATTTCTATACATTCCTATCATTTCAAGCTGGATAAAACTGAGGTACTATACTCATTTCATCAAAAGTGGTCTATCCTGTGCTTTTCAACACCACAGATATCACATTCTACAAATTACAAAGGTGCTTATATATTTAACTTGAACTGAACAAAGTGAAATTCCCAAAAAAATTTAAAATCTAAACATCTTTCTATGTAGTAATTTATAATTAATCATACACTAACATTGTATTTTTCACAGAACTTCCATATTCTTGTACTGTTTGCAATTTTATGTGAAAATGACAAATAAAAATGTTTCAAATGCTCAGTCTCCTCTAGATTCAAACAAAATGTAGTCTAGATCTTTAATAAATTAAATCTTTATGTCTTTGATTTGGCATTACTTTATGGAGAGTCATCTCAAATCTCACCCAGAAGTTTCATGTAGATATTGCAAAATAGGGAGAGTATATTGAACTATGAGGAATTCTACAAAGAAGAATTTCTGGGATACATTTTTCGTTGCCATAAATTCTAGTTGGGACCATTCTTAATCACCTGATACCATCATAATACTGAAAGCCAATGAGGGGTCAAAAATAATATGGATGGACACATCATCTCCATCCTTCTACCAGAGGTTATCCACAATTGTGATCAATTCTGTCTCGGTCTTATACCTAAGCCTGCAACCTGTGATAGGGGTCCAGATAATTTGCAGCACAACTACCTTCTCAATAGAAGAGAGGATGAAGATTACCCAATATAGTCAGGTCTAGCAAGATTATTTTGGGGAGGGAGAAGACCACCTCTTTTTTCAGTGTTTGTGGGACCCCCCTCCTAGATCCAACTACATGTCTATTAACCCATAACAAGCTCTAGAGCCCAAAGTGAGAGGCAGGATGCAGTGGAGAGTGTCTCTGAAAGCCACCAGAGTATAGCCAACCATAGCTATTCTACTACCCATTCTAGAATTCTTGATTTATACCACACCAATCTGGTATTTTGTAGCAGCAGCAGCAGCAGCCAAAATCCCAAGCCTCTTAAAACAAGGCTGGGAATTGGGGTAGAAAAGAGGGCTCCAGAATGTGGAATAGAAAACAAAACCATGTTCCCCAAAAGATATTCTGTAGCAGCATGTTCCATGTTCCCCAATCTGGTATTCTGTAGCAGCAGCTGCCGCCAAAATCCAAAGCCTCTAATAAGTCTGAGAAGAATACAGGTAGAATACAGGGTTCTAGAATGCGGAATAGAAAAGTTATTTCTCCAAAATAACTCTTCATAATGGTGGTAAAATAGCTATAGCTCTAAATGGAGATTGCCTTGCAGACACAAACTAAACCAGCAATAAGGCTCACCTCAACATCTAGGAGACCATAGGGGTTGGTTGTGAAAGCATCCAGTACCTCAAGGTGCACTCCTCAGGGATATCTGTTGATACCTAATCTTCCATAGCCACCTCCACCAGCAAAGGCACATCATGGCCTTCTCCAGTGGTGTAAACAACTTGTATTATACTGCCTGCTGCCAAGCAGCTCATTAGTACAAAATAAAGGCAGAGACCCAATTCAACAGCATTAGTCCCAATTTATAGCAGGAGGCCTACAACCAAGCATTTTCCGCTTCTGTTCACTTGTCACTGAAAGGTCCAACATAGGGCAATGCCTGTGTTTGCTCAATTGAGGCACAGTTCTCTTTCTGTTCTGTTCCTCAATCTGTTCCTGCTCACTGCAATCCTTTTTCAACATATTAAGGCCTTCAAAAATTTAGGCCCAGGCGACAAAACATGTTGAGCTGTTAGGCACCTTAAAAAGCAACAACAACAAGTTTAATCACCAATTACATAAAAAGTACACCACCTTAATAATCTGCAAATTACACATAGCATGCAGCATTTTCAAATTTGTTTCACATAAAAAATTAAAAAATATACTCCAATTTCCATTTATGTTTTACTTAATATAAAAGTAAGAGTGTAAAAGATAACAATGTATAATACCAAATTTAAGAAAATAAAGGAGAATAAAGGTTAAAATTATAGTAACCAGCTACTGGAAGCAAACTAGTTATTATATAGCCCTTCTACAGGAAGCTTTTCTAAATATATTTCAAATAATGTAAACCAGTGACCTAACATTTAGGATTACTTCCTTACTCCCTTAATAGTTGTGTAATAAATATTATTTAATATCTGTTCTCTAAAAAACAAAATCTATTCTGAAAATAAGCCCTAGAATATTTTTACACATGCAGATAAGATAAGCCCTACCCCCAAAAGAAGCCATACTTAAGAGCCTATGAAGCCGGCCAGTCGGCTATTTCATCTGGCTGCTTGCAATGCCATGGTCACAAGGCAAGGGGGGAGGTTGAGCTACCCTATGTGCCCCACACCGGTTTCCTCAGAACTCCCACATCCAAACCATCCATGCCCTGACACCTGCCTCATGGCCGCAGCACCAGCAGCCATGTGTAGCAAGAGCCCATGTGGCCGCTGGCCCACTTCTGCTGCTTGCTCACAGCCACAACAGATCAGGAGCCCGAGTGGTTTGTTGGTGCTGTGGTCGAAAGATGAGGCAAGTGTCACGGTGTGAATGGCTTGGCTGCGGGGGCCCTGAGGTGTGGGGCAGCTCCACTCTGCCACCTTGCCTTGTAGCTGCAGCACCAGTGTGGTATTTGGCCTGCTTAGTTGCAGCCGTGCAGAAGTAGTGAGCCAACAGTCACACAGGTTCCTGTTGAATGGGCCTGCTGGAGCTACTGCTGCGAGACACGACAGATGTCAGGGCGGAAGTGGTCTGACTGCAGAGGCCCTGAGGTAAACTGGTGCGGGGCGCATGGAAAAGCTCCACTCTCCCTGCCTTGTGACAGTGGCACTGGTGCGCCACGTGGCCTCCTACCCTGCCGTGAGCAAGCAGAAGTGGGTCTTTCATATATGAAAAAATACACCCCCCAAAAAAATAAGCCTTAGTGCTTATTTTGAGGTCCAAAAGAAAATAAGACTCAGACTTATTTTGGGGGAAATATGGGTAGTTGCAACAAATGTAAGGAACAACTAAAGCCTACAGTTCCATAATCAATTTTAGAAAAGTAGAGGTAATATTTTTAAATGCAAATACTTTTATATTCTCAAAATATTGAAAGGCCAAATAAAAGCACGTAGCCATTGTCATGTTCCATTTCAATTTTTATTATGGTTTTATATCAACTATATTTGTTTAGAAGAATCCTTTTCTGAATATTCCACAAATATTCGTTCAAGCACACTCTAGTTTTAAAGTTTATGGTGCTTAATCAGGCCATCACATTTATTCATTCAGCTTGTTCAGGAAATAGAAAGTAAACAGAAAGGCTACATTTCATGCCATAAATAAAGCAATGTGGTATTTTAAACTATAGATTTATTATAACATAATATTTCAAAGGCACTAGTATACTTTCATAAGATTCATCAGTTATTCTGCAGACTGCATTCATGTTTCTGTTTCATATTCATAATCACAGGAAAGAAGCAGTTGAGTAGGGGCTAAATGGCAAAAGTAAACAAACAAACAACCATAAAATCAATCTTGCAATCAAAATCAACCTTCAATATTCAAAATATTCTCCACGAAAAATTTCTATACATGTCAACAGACCAGAATCAATCCACTGATCTTTTTATGCAAAATCTCTATAAGTTAAACAAAAAATATGATTGAGAAAAAGTGTCAATGTCAAAACAGAACGTTGTGCAGTGAAAAATTATTTTTCCTCAAAGTAAATTTTTTTAGCTTATACCGCTTCACATACTTTCTGCAGGACTGTCAATGTGTAACACTGCAAAAAATAAAATAAAAATAAAAAAATCAGCGATTCAATCTTAAAAAAAAATTCTAATCTTCAAATTTAATTTTCTTCCCTTGGAATGCTGTAATTTGAGATATTTGCTCTCGCATTTTTCTGCTTGCTTCCCATGATGGATGAAGGGGTTGCTGTGGAGGCTTCCTCTCAATAGTATGTTTCACTGCCGAACTTTTAGACATCCGTTTCTGTGGGTGATTTTTTTCAAAAACTGTCCAAAAATTAACAAACAATAAAGTGTAAGTAACTCAATCAGTTATTTACTCAATCAGTTATGCACTCAATCTTAGTTGCATAATAATTTCAAAATTTAGAAGTGTTTTATCCTTGGAGAAATTCAATGTCGTTTCCAACAGGCTTTATTGAAGGGAGATTCTGAAAGATCTCCTTTGAATAGAGACTGTCAATGTGGTGGAGAAATAATTGAGACAATGAAATACATTATTTTATACTGTCCTCCCTGCACAGACACCCAACTATTATCAGCTCCATTCTTTACTTAATACCCCGGCTGTTCAGATTTCTTTTATCTTAATTTGTTATTGTCAGACAAATCAGATTTTATTTCCTTGATTATGACTAAGTACTGTTACACAGTTTGTAAGGTATGCCATTTTTTTCTGAGTCTTCTTAGATACTTCAGAACTGTTTTTGTTTTTATCCTAATTGTTATATTCTTGTTTCATTTGCTGTCTATGACCCAATAAAAATGGATTAATTGACTGAAAGTATAAGTAACTTTTCACATACTATACATTATGCTATATTATAAATTGATGGTAAACCACATAAATTCATATTTATTAAGCAGAAACAACGTTAATATTGTTAAACACATCCCAGGTTTTAGACTGTTAAACATACCAATACTTAAAAAAATCAAAGTCCATGATGAATAAAAACATTAACTATATAGTTAAGGCAAAGCTAGATTTCATTGTCCGCGAGTCCAAACAAATGTCAAGAATATTACTTTAGTATTCTCACTTACTTGCCCTGTCTCTCATATAATGGCCTCTAATATTCCTAAAATAAAAAATACAAGAGTTAACATTGAAAAAAGACGATAATTTCAAGCAAAGAACACACTACTAGTGAATAAAAAAATGAATCTAATGTACATACCTAAATGCATAAATTATTTACATAAGTGTGTTTGCATGGCCAAGCTAAGCCAAATATGACTTAATTTCTATAATGTTTCCTATAATTAAGCTAGATTCTTCTTAATCTGTTAATGGGTGCTAATAAGATCCAGTTTCTCTGAATAACCTTCAATATGAAAACTGACTCAATAACTAGGAAGGGATCATGTAAGGCAGACAGTAGTGGAAACACATAGCCGAGCTTAGAAAATTGATGCAGTTTTACTTTGTTATGGGGGGGAAAAACATAGAACACAAAAACACAACTCCAGGCAGAGCTTTTTTACCTTGAAATATGCAGCACATAAATTACAGGCATGCATTTAATGACATGTTTCTTTGATAGTAGCTCCTTAATGCTATGTTTATTGGGCCTAACTAGAATCTGTCTTCCCCACTATAACCCTTCTGTTTCCTCTCCAGGGACTCGGTACACAAATTCAGTCCCAACGAAAATAAAGGAATTTTACTTTTGTCCCAAGGGCATAATTTGTTTTTGCTACATGCTACATTGAAGAGATGGGGGAAACCTCTAGGTCTTGTGTTTGATTCTTAAGATTGAGGAGGACACTATTATCTTCCATTTCATTATCAGAAAAAACTAAATTGTTTTTAAACTATTGTTTGAACATTTTTGAACACAGTTTCAACAAATCATTGATCAGATTTTCAGTCCAAAACCTACCTTCTCACAATTCTAGGTTCTTTGTTGTTGGACAATGAATGATAAAACACAGATTCTAGCTTCCCTGCTTTTGAACTCTGGTTGCTGTCTTTTGAATTTTGGTCTAATAGCCTGTCACATTGTGGATCCTTTGGGTTTTTTAGTGGCATAGCTTTAATTTTTTGTTTTGTAGGTTGTGAAGCATTAGCCGCTCTCCTTTTTTTCATTCTCTTTACTTTGCCAATGAAGAAATCATCATTGTTGTTACTTTCATCAGTGCCGGAAGACTGATTATAGAACCTCTCTTCTGTACTGTCATCAAAACGTTCCTCCTTTCTAATGTCCTCACTTTTATCCATATCTTCATCAGAGTCACCTACTGTCTTGTTCACAATGTCATTCAAATGTACTTTTTCTTGTGAATATTCGGAGTTTCCAATTTGATCCTGATGGATTAATTTGTCATTTTCTGTGTCAGGCACAGCAGAAGTGAGTGAGAGACATTTTTTCATATTATCTGCCATTTTCTGTACTCTACTCTCAAAATTATGTTTTTCCCCCTTATCAATTTGTGCTTTTTCAATCGCCTTTGTTTTATCTTGCGATTCAGCTTGTTTAAGTATTTCGCTACTAACAGAATGCTGGATCTCCTCAGGATGCTTATTAAGCTGCTCTTCCAGTTTTTGTTCCGTTGAAGAAATAGCTCTAGCTGGCTTCTGTCTTGCATTTTTAAAGTCTTCCACCGCAGCTAGGAAAAAGAAACCCAGGTTTGATTTTTTTTTTAAAGCAACAACTTGTATATAAGCACAGCAATGGTAAAGAAGTTATTAAAACAACCCTGCTATCTACAAGTTTAAGTAGTTTACAGCTCTCCAAAATCTTTATTTAATGAACTATATGTCTTTTGTACTGTGTTACAGTCACAGTATTATTAGGGATTTCAGAATCCTTGGTTCTTTTCATTAGTTTCTAGTTTCACAAGGAAGAGTAAGAATGTTAATTAAAAGTTTTATAGTTTATTAATCTTCTACTAGAATATATACATGCAACATTATGCATTACTTAAAGCAGCTTTATTTTTACACAAAACACTGCAACTATTTGGATTATATGAAGTTGGGGCATCAGCTAATTTTCTTGGTAATTCTGGAGTTCTTCCGCCTTTCCTACAGGTGAACAGAATAGAAAAATATTTAAACTGCATGGCAACTATAAATCTTCTTTGAAGGCTAATAACATATAGACATATTGCTGTATGGTTTAAGATATATTCAAGTAAGAGACTGCAAATTTAGAAAACAATCTTGTACAAGATGAGTTGGAGTGAATTCTGCTTACCTTTAATATTAGCAATTTTGGTCTTCAGTAATGGATGAGATGCCAATCTAGCAATTGCTCTGTCTCTTGCTGTTGAACTGGGCTATATTGGGAAAATGAAAAATTATGTTGATTGAGAATATAGTAACAAAACAGAAAAATACAGAAAGAGGTCATTCATTCTGCAAGAATATTCCTTGAAACAAGGGTGTACTGCGAAGCTCAACATTAAGACGAGTGGCTTTTCTCAAGTATCATCTGAGTCTCTTTCCCTCCACTGAAACCACCTTGCAAAAGGGCTTTGCAACCGTCACCAGCAGGATTCTAACCATCCACATGAAGCACCAGCTCCTCTCCCCATCGACATGGTACCTATTTATCTGCTCACATGTAACATGCTTTCTAACTGCTAGGTAGGCAGAGACTGAGAAGAGTGACAGGAGCTCACACTGCTGTGCAGTGCTAGGACTCAAACCACTGGAGCAAACACCATCTCCAGCATCATTAAGCCACTGAGCCACTATCTTTATTCTGGCTTTGTCAGACGTCAACTAGAAATGTGAAGCGTTTTGGTTCTATGTCTCTCCCTGAAACTCAACTGAAAAGAATCCTGACATCTATTCAAGAACATCACCACAACAGACAAAAGCTCCTTGAAATAATTTCTTTGTATTTGTATTAGCTATTTGTACTGGGGTCACAAAGATATTGCGTTGCATGGATTTTGTCCATGTCTGGGGTTAAAGAAATATTTTCTAACACTATGCATGCATCAAATAATAATAATTGCTCACAATCCAAGCATTGTCTAATAAGCTCTTGGGTTTCAGATTATTCTTATAGGTTGCAGTAACAGAATCTTGAAAGGCTAATTATGTTTTCCCTTCCCTTTCCCTCCTATACCCCAGGGAATTAAAGGTGCAATCTGTTTAATTTTCTTCCTAGTGCCTTCATTTTCTTGGCTTAAAACATATCCTTGTAACTATCACTGCAGTGTTTTTTCAAGGCCATCAGTGGCTGTCCATAGCCGGAGCAGGATATATAAAATGGGGAAATTTCTCCTACTTGGGCAAGTTGACGTGGACATCTTGCAGGTTATGGCAAGGGAAATATTCATGCAGCTTCATCAAAAGGTTTATATGCAGATGAGATGATCATCAACAGAATTGACACACTCAGGGAATCTGAGCTTATGATCATAGTGAAACTATAGACTATATAGTAAATAAAATATATAATGAAACTATAGACTATAAAAAAACAAAACATTCAAGTTAAGTATTGTTCCATTTAAATAGAAATCCAAGACAGGAATATTTATAACTAACTTTTTCTTGAACTAGTTTTGCTAAAAGATATATTCTTTGGCATGAGAGGAGACACTAATTAGGCAAAAAAAATTCCACTGCTCTGAAAATATTTTAAGAGCACAATTCAAATATACACATTTTCTGAGGTTCAGAGGATGTATTCACGTACCTTACTGGAACAGAATTAGTCATAGCAGGCAAATTTTACACTTCCATGTAACATTCTCTCATCACCAATGTTCCCAAAGTAATCACAGCTATTTCTGTTTAAAGTTCACATCTGTTTGCCATGGAAATTTATCAGGAAACTGTGGTTTTATACATCCACAGTCGTTTCCACTTCAGCCAAGATCAAAGAGCTCTTTAAAATCTGTAATACCTATATCTAAAATACTAATCTTGTATTTGTGGAAAAAGAATATTTAGATATTATTACTTTGACATCCAGGGAACTCTGAGTAGCATTGGGAGCTGGCTGGGAGTCGAAGTCCACACATCTTAAAGTTGACAAGTTTGAAAAACACTAACTAAGTAATGGTATTGCCCTAAAAGTGTGTAGAATTAAAAGCACAAACAGCAAAACAAAACAAAACCAAGTCCCCCAGTGAAAGCTTCATCTTCATATTGCAAGTATTTTAGATGCAAATATACAAGTAGAAAGCAAACCCCACACCTGTGATAGAATTCCATGTTCATACAATATAAAGTGTATGTACAATATCAAAGATTACATTAACTCAGTAAGAGCTGCTAAGCCACAAAGACTTGGCTATTTATTTATTTATTCATTCATTTAATGGCTTCAGGATTATATATACATTTCTTTTAAAGAAAAGAATGTAAAGAGTTTATTTAAGTAATCACGTGTTTGGTTAATGCATTAAAAATGCATTAAAATACAAAATAAATTTCCCAAGTTAAGAATCTTAATCCATAAAACAATACTGTTTGTGAGACTGCATTCCTACATTTCTGAAATCACTTGACAAACAGTTCGCTTTAATGCTCATTGAAAAAGTGCATTGAGATTGAATGTACTGTGATACATTGCTCGGTTTTTAAACAAATGTGTTAATATATTGTTGCTAGAAAGAGACTTTACAAACAAAAATACAACTTTTAAGAAAAGTTGAAAGCATCATACCTTTTTACAGATAACCGCAAAGTCAATTTCTCTCCCAAGTGCTGATTTGGTAACCTGATCAAGTTTTATTTCCTAGAAAATATAACAGAAGTGGTTACTTCCTCCATGCATTTCTGGGAGTAGTTTCGGTGCAAGAAACAAGCAACACAAATGTCACTTTTTTTTTTTTTTTTTTTGTTCAGGGGGGAGCAGTCAATAGAGTAAATAGTTAAACATAAGTACAGACACAAAAAATGAAGTAAAAATTATGAAAGCAAAAGAAAAACCACAAAAAACCAGTAATTATTTGTTACAATTATTTCCTACTTTTCAAACTAACAACTCGCAGAAATTCAAGCAATGTAATTCATTGCAAATAAAATACATATTACATTCGAAAAAATTCAGGTCCTTTCTTGTAGAATGATAATGGAGAAGTAAATAGAATTGGCTCAGATGAAATAGGATTCAAGAATAGACCCTGCCTAGTTTAGTGCAACTAGTGAAAGTAAACATAATTGTGCTTGTTTACAAAGTAAAGCTTACATTTTAGACCAGGTGCTGATATGCTAGGCCAAGGCCAAAACGGGAGCACGCACAAACATTTTTGGCCCTGATGAAGATCCACGGTCCGGAGCATCTGGTCGGTTTGGGCACATGTGGCAGCAGGGCATCATTTGCTGGAAGGCTGGCTGCCCTGCCTGCTGCTCCTTCCCCAGCAGCTGCCACTTCCAGCCAAGACGCTGGAAGAGGAACTGCTGGCGAGGAGGCGAGCTACCTGCAGTTGCAGTGGCTGCCCAGTCGCTCCTGCCCTTCCCCCTGTGGCTGCTGCTGCTGCTCTTCTGGGGCTGCGCGGGGACCAGCCAGCTCTTCTGGGGCACCTGAGCCGGCCAGGCACTCCAGCCCACGGATCCACATCTATGCCGCGAGCTGAAGCCACGCAAGTAGCCCGCTCAGGTGGGGAGGGAGGGAAGCCCTGGCTTGCCCTTGCCACCGCCACCTCCTTATCCCTGGCGTCTGTCACAGTGCCACTTCTGGCTGGCTTGGGAGTGACTGCGGTGGTGGGCCTGTCACTACTGCCCTTCCTGTTGTGGCTCCCGCTGCTGCTGTTCTTCTGGGGCACCTAAACTGGCCAGATGAGCCATGGGCTGGAAGGCTCGGGACCCGCAAGAAGCCTGCTCGGGTGGGGAGAGAGAGATCTGACCACAGCTCTGCTCTGCTCGGAAGGGGCAGCTGGGATCTCCTCTCTGTGCCTTTGGACACGCTCGGCCGCACCTTTATCCACTCCTGATGACCTGTAACAGTTACTGGGGTAGTGGATAGCAGAAATGCCAGGTAGGAGTTAGGCATGCTGACACAAAGGCATGAGACCACAGATACAACATTAGGGACAATAATTCTAAAAAACAAAACCAAGCCAAAAAAAATAGACAGTGTCTTCTGCTAGTTCTTTTAACCAGGGGTCCCTTACCCCCAGGCTATGATCTATTCAGAATTGGGCTGCATGAGAGGAGGGTCAATGCATACATGCAGCTCCACTTGCATGAGTGGCACCCCAAAGGCTTCTCTCTTGAGTGAGTAGAACTGTCCTTGTGGCCTGCTTCCTTCTCCCCATCGGTCGGGCAGTTGGGCCACCAAGCGGCCTGCTCCTGTGGAACTGTGAGATCAGAGGCTGAGTGGGACGAGTGCAACCTGTTCAGCTTGCTGACTCACTGAGGCTGCCTACGCAGGACACCTGATCCATTTTTGGAGCGTTGGGCAGCCTCAGTGAGTCTGAAGACACATGAGACCACGCCCCCAAAGGCTTCTCTTTTCCACACCAAAAGGTTTTGCAAATGGACAAAAGGCTTTGGGGGAGGAATCTTGCACTGCTTTAGGTCTCAGCTTTTGGCACAGAGGAGCCTGAAGGAGCGCGAAATCACACCCCAAAGGCTTCTCTTCTGTCTTGTGTGAGTGGAGGTGTGTGTGCAAGCACATGTGCACTAGTCCACCTCAAACAGCCAGGTTACCCTATTCCCTCCCCACAGCCGGGCTGCTAAACTACAAAGGTTGGGGATCACTGTTTTTTGACTACCTTTCTATAGTATCTCCATTTATATTTTTACATTAGGCTCTCAATAGAATTTTTTTTATGGGAAAGCTAATTCTGTGATAATTATGAATTTTATCTGAAAAGGTTTTACAAAACTATAACAGTTGCTTTTACAGCTTTGCAAACAACAAATTCTTCCCCAGACTAACAGTTTTTCAAAAAGTCTACTTAACATATCTTGTGGCACATATTAGAAGTAGGCATAAAGATTATTTAGTAAAAAATATTCTCCTAGGTTGTCTTCTGGGTTATAGTGCTCCATCTACAGCTGCTCTTAAATATTCTAGCAGTATGCCATTTGACTTGTAGTGTCAGCTTTCTCTTCCATAGAATTTTTGAGGTAGTACAGAGTACCATTATTAAAACAATATGGAGGCTACCCACTAGGATCACCTATAACATCTTCCTGTCAATCTGGGTAAAGTTTCTTCCTGTACTTTTGCTAAGACTGCATTAAATTGTGTTGCTAAATATTAACACAGAACACTACTATTCTACTAGTAAAGCAGACATCACTTTCAGCTTAATGGCTTTCACAATTAGCAATGCTTTTTCCCTGCTATATTAAACTTTTTCAGATGCTTTGACCTGCATTTGGCTATGTCGCATTTTGACAACGGAAAATATGTAAACATATTCAAACAGGGTACTTTCCAAGAATTATATGCAACATATAACAAGCTTGGAGACATTGTATTTTAAAGACATTTGCAAAAAACATATTGACTTGCTTCATAAGAACTTAGGAGACTAAGCAAGGAACTTTCAAAATGTAGAACTGTAGACAGGATGAGAATAAATGATGGTGTGATGCCAAATTAGAGAAATGGTAAAAGAGCTCTATTGACTATTGATTTGCGAGTGGCCAAACTTAATGACTTTGGGTTAAGCACTTTGGGACTTGAATGTCTATGAGAACACTATTGTTAGTAAAGCTCTCCCTTCCTTTGCTAACAAAGCAGTTTTAAAATACCTTCCATAAACTTTTTAAATCAAAGAGTTAATGTCAGACATCATGGTCATATAAAACAAGAAGATGAATAGAAGAATCTAAAACATCTTCCATGGGCTATGTTGTAAAGCTATTATCTATTTGCCTTCCGGTCAGAGCAAATGCTTGGAACAACATATACTAGTAAAAGGTGTTTTATTTCCAGGATTACCAGCTGTCAGAAATCTTTGGACATATTGTGGCACAGAATAGTTTTGATAATAATACTCATTAATATTTAATTCTTTAGAAAAAAATCTAGTTTTATTATAGAGGTAAAACCTTTGACTAGAAGGGGTGGAAGCTGAGATTATGCCTTTAAACCAATTATGTAAGTAATTATTATTTTAAGGATTTTTCCTGATTTCAAGTTAAATTTGAGCTTTTAGTTCACAACAGTGTAGCATTTTCAACAAGCACTTTGAATGGCTCAATATGAGCCAGACACTTTGACCACTTCAAAAGCCCAAGATGCTTTCATATTGAAATGACAAAATAAACTCCATAACATGTTTCTATCAAAAGGGCAGGAAGTTTTTTTTGAAGTGAACATTTTGGAATAATTTAAATATGATCTAAAGAGTTGGAATCTTCAACAATGCTCTATCAATGGCTCCAACTCTTAAAAATATTAAAATGATATGAACAGATTTGCGATTAAAGTTATCAATTTTTTTAAATATGAATTTATTGGATTCCCTAAATAATGAATTTAAAAGGAAGGACATCGATGTTTTCTATTGGAGGTGTAAAAATGTGATATTGACCCATACAATATGGTTCTTTGTTATTTTTTTGGAATGGTACTTTAATGCATGTAAGCAGACATATGGATGGGGCATGGTAACCTAGCAGTTGGCTTATAAACCAGAAGGTTGGCAATTCAAGGCCCAAGCACCATGTGATGGGATGAGCTCCTGTCCTTGTTCCAGCTTCTGCCAAGCTAGCAGTTCAAAGTGTGGAAAAGCAACTAGTTAAATATGCACTACTTCAGTGGGAAGATAACTGCATTCCCTGTGCCTTGGCATATAGTTATGTTGACCACATGACCATAAAAGCAACTTCAGGCAATGCTAGCTCCCTTAGCATCAACCGTTAGAGGCGGACACAACTAGACAGGAGAAACCTTTATCTGTTTTCTTTTTAAAAACTTTATGCAATCACCTTTAAATGTTAAAGATGTCAACGTAGCATTAAATTAGGTACCAAATATTTTGGAACTTGTTTGTCAAGAATTATGACTATCATGCACGAGGAGTGGTTAAAAGAGTAATGTTGAAAAATTAGAAAAGTGGCATTATTCCAGACACTGAAGAATAGCTTTTTGAAATAATTTCTTATCTGGCCTGGAAAAGGCAGCATTCTCCACTAATCAAAGGTAAATAATAATAAAGGAAGAGGCAATATATTCTACTGTGACAAAGCTGTTATGATAGATTGCAATAATATTTCTCAATATGCTCAATATCTTCCAAGTCGTTCACATACTAGTTAGGTTAAAATGTCACTTCTTTATAAGGTAATGAATTGCTAAACAAGGAAAAACAGTTATATTAACACCATTTTCAGTTTTTAAAACTCTGCTATACTTTTAATTTTAATGCATTGCAATAAAAAAACTAACCTTTTTTAAAAAACAAGTACTTACTGCAGTAAGATATACTTATTAAAATCCAACAGCAATAAGAATCTAAGTGCAGCTGGTGAATCACAGCAGTTTTTCAAATCTTTTCCAAAAGCAGCACAGACTAAATCCTGAATGGTTTTTTGGAATCATGTGCTGCTTGAATACCTGCCATTTTGCCCAGCATGCCATTCTGCAGCCAGTAATACCAGAGACACGATCCATCTCCAATGCTATATCAGCATGCTAGAAAATTTAAAAATAAACCAATAACCACTTGGAGGTAATGTTCAACATTCACCGAATCTCAGAATTCTCTGGCAACTCCATAAAATTACAGCATACAGCTGTAAAATGTTTCCAACCTTGAAAAGTTTTTAAATCAT